GTCGTCCCTCTGGGCCATGTTGATAAGGCGGCCAAGCGATCCAAACAGATAATGCCTCAAGGTACATGATGGCATAGACAATGGACGTAGGATGTGATGATGCTGGTCCATCGGTCCCAATGGACAGCTGGCGAATATGATATGCTTGGRAWWACCATAGCTCCCTTTCAAAAAGGTAGTGATTGAGTAGCAACAGCAGGAGTGGCGGCGGGAGTAGCATCAGCAGGAGTAGCAGCAACAGGAGTAGCAGTAACAGGAGTGGCGGCGACAGCGGGAGTAGCAGCAACAGGAGTGGCGGCAGCAGGAGTAGCGGCAACAGGAGTGGCAGCATGGGTGGTGGCGGCGGGAGTAGCAGCAGCGGCAACCTGAGTAGTAGCAGCAGCAGGAGTGGCATCAGCATGAGTGGCGGCGGCGGGAGTAGTGGCCGCGTTACGTATTGCTGGTGCTGTTCCAGGTTCAATCATTGTTGAGAAGAAATGGTGTAGCATGCGCCAAGTGTCAAGGGCACGCTCTTTGTACTCATCGTACTTGTTCTTCAGCTCCTCATTCTCTCCAGCCAACAGATCTTCAAGATTGAACATATCATTGCGACGAAGGGTGATATCAATGGCCGCCTGGAACTTGACTCTTGTTGCTTCCCAACGGGCAACGAGCGATGAAGGTTTCGATGCACTGTGCTTGGTACTGATTACAGGTATCTTTGGACCAAGCCGAGCCATGACTCCCAACAACCTCTCCTTCACTCGCTTACCAACTCTGTTTCCATCTACCTCAATCTTCAGCCATGTCTCAAGCCATTTGAAATGATTTTTGACATAGGTTCTGATGACAGCGACCAATACATGGAGAAGATCTGGTACCATATGACTTGTTGGGATACATGTGATCAATGGAGCATTGTTGTATCCACCGTTAGTCCTCGCTGGTCCCGTCGGCTTAGTCAATTGTTGCTTCTAGAAGGGAGGTAGGTTGCAGTGTATCGTTTGGTTGCACTCTCCAGGGCAAAAGTTCATAATGCCTAGCTGGCTCTGTTGAGGCTTGGTTCTTGTCCGGACGACTGTATCATGGTGATAAGTATGGGCCAGAGGAACAGAAGATGTAACTGGTTTAGGTCCTGTGTGAGGTCGTTTGTGGGCTGCTCTTACTTCTTCCACAGCTAGCTGATGTGAGTTGTCGATCTTTAACTTCTTCTTAAGGTCTTGACGCATCTGTTTAAAGTCCTCGAATGAGTGATTCATTTTGTCAAAGTCCTCGTCGTCCTAGATGTAACCTTCTCTCATCATACTCTCAGAGTCCTTGTCCTTGACCAAGTATCCTATGTGTTGTTGTTAAAGTCATCGTCCATGTCGTCGTCCTTCTCCTTTACTTGAGCTTGACACTGATTTTGGCCATAGAGCCCCACAGCAGCCGTGTTTAGCCTAATCATGGACTTGAGCAGTGCTGTGTGTCGATGACTTAGTGGATAGCAAGTAGACACATAGACATTTCCTGGCATATCGGGCCACGTTAATTGATTTGAGTGACGGCGTAGCCGAGGGAGACGAGGAATATAACTGGCACATTTTAGAAGTCGAAACACCAAGCGGTAGTGTGTAGCATGAGTATGAGTGGCTCTGCTACCTTGTTCTTTGGCCGAGAGTCTTGTGATCTTGGGCAGCACGGGCAATCGATGGAGGATGCGACATATCGTCATGTGCTGGTCCAAGATCGATCGAGTGACCAGTGTGATCCCTTCTTGGTACATCCTCTATCTATAAATATATACTGTAGAGTCCAAAACTTGGTTGTTCTCCCTTATTGATAATCCAGCTCGTCCAAGTGATTATATATGATCACGTGATTGTTGATGAATGTGTATTGATAGGCACCGGGTCTCCACTGTTGGAGGACTTTAATGGCCTCGTAGTGGGTGCTTGGGCGTCCCGCACTGGAAGGAAGGTGTCCAGAATGGAATGTAGGATCTCGTCACGCATCTTCAGTCGGGTCACCAGCAGGTGCAACAAATGTCAAGATGTTGTTGGTGGAGGTGGGGATGGAGTGAGTCTTGGAGGAGGGAGGCTGTGTATGTTGTATGTATATGTATTTATTATAAGTATGATTGAAATGATACTAGTTTTGAATAAACACTTGCCAAGTATTTGTAGGCGTGACAATAAGATGGGAGAGAATATTTATGGTATGGCCGTTAAGGATGATCCAGATTGATGTAGATTACTCCAACAATGAATGAAGCTTCATCTTGATGAGTCGAGTCTGATGATGATTAATAGGTGAACTTTGTAAGTAGTTGGTAGGATCTGGTGTTCCAGCAGGTGCTGGATGTCTTTGGATCCAAGCACTAGTAGATTTCTTGAATTGTTGTTGGACTATAGCTGTTGATGTTGATGATCCACCGTTGATATAGGAGATTACGATGAACGGCAATGAATGTGCTATATATCGCTTCATCTTGATGAGTCGAGTCTGTTGGAGTATCAAAAGAGTTGTTGGATGATGTTGGTCCTTGGTTGGTGTGCGGCAATCCAAGTGAGCAGTATTTGGTCGTCTTTGCATTACTGTCCAAGCCTGTAATTCCTGTGGATCACTTCAACAGTGATGTATAATATATTGATCGSTTCATCTTGATGTGTTGAGTATTACTATACATATAATCTTGATTGGCTTTAGTTATTGTTAGAAGTAGAGGTGCGACGATCGGTCCTTAGTATTAGTATTTACCTGTGTAGTTGGATGTCGATTCTACAAGTTGATGAAGATTACTCCAAAGATGATRAATATAATATGTATCGCTTCTTCTTGATGGGTCGAGTCTGATTATGTGTCATAGGTGTTTGTTGGACGATGTTGGTGATCAGTGGAGTGCGACGATCGTAGTTAATGCCACAATCCTAGCAGTTGTTGAATGTGTTGCTAAAGAATAGCTTCAGCAGTGATGCCCAATATATCTATCGATTCACCTTGATGTGTTGAGTCTGTTGGTATGCTATTGTAGGTGTTATCGAGATGTTGGTGGCAGTTGGAGTGCGACTCTTGGCGTGTAAAGGGAAATGATGTCTCTGCAAGCTGTACTTTGTAAGAATAAGTTCAAAAGTCACATATTATATATGGATCGATTCCTGTAGATGTACTGAATCTGTTGGTGTATCAAACGTATGTGTTGAACAATGTTGGTGCATCATCGTTGTGTCGAGACGCATTCGAAAGGCATGCATGATATCTGGTGTTTGGTAGTTCAATGATGATGATTGATATTGATCAATTCGCGTTGATGTCATAAGAGGAGTAACAAGATATATTATGTTGAGGTGTTGAGTGACGTTGTCAGGAGTTGATAGATCGACCTTCATCTGTTGTTGTTGTTGTAAATATGGATGTCATGAAGTTGATGAATAAGCTTCAATGTTATTGATTAATCAAATGATCCACTGCCCGTATGTATTTGTACTAATGTTATATGTATCATATTTGTTAATGACTTGTCTATTGAGTC